CGTCATTTCCGGAAATGGCAGAACTTAGATCTTGTAGAGTAATACAATCAGTAAAGCCCTTCACGCACACCGGGTCTGATTTTGCTGGTCCGTTTAAGGTCACGCTCACTCGCGGGCGTGGTATAAGATCCACAAAGGCTTACGTCTGCATTTTCGTATGTCTAACTACTCGAGCAGTGCATATAGAACTCGTTGGTGATCTAAGCACAGCAGGCTTTATGGGTGCATTTAAAAGATTTCTATCGCGCAGAGGCCCTGTAAGTAGATTATATTCGGATAACGGTACGAACTACGTCGGTGCAAAACGTATTCTATCGGAACTACATGAGCTCTTAGCTAGCAAGTATTATAATTCGGAGTTCGCTCACATTCTAGCCGAGAACCGCATTGAGTGGTCTCTGAACGTCCCAGCCGCGAGTCATTTTGGGGGCAATTGGGAGACTAATATTAAAAGTCTAAAGAGCCACTTATACCGAGTAATAGGAGATCAAATTTTGTCCTTCGAAGAGCTAAGTACGGTGCTCGCTCAAATTGAATGCGTAATGAATAGCCGCCCACTTTGTCGGACGTTATCTAGTGACCCCTCGGAACCGCTGGCTCTAACTCCAGCACATTTTTTGACTTTAACGCCTCTAAGGTATCTGCCCGCCGCGGATATGGATGAGAACAGACTTAACATTTCCACACGCCACAAATTATTAGATCGGTTAGTGCAATCGTTTTGGAAACGATGGAGGATGGAATACTTGCATACTTTGCAGTCTCGGCAAAAATGGAACACAGCGACAGAGCCTTTAGCTGTAGGAACCGTAGTTGTGTTCACTAAGGAGAATACGCCGCCTCTCCACTGGCCGTTAGGAATCGTCGAGGAGATCTTTCCCGGTTCCGACGGAGTAATTAGGATAGCTCGCGTTAAGACCACGGTTGGGTCTTACCTACGTCCTGTTGTCCGTTTGTGCCCCTTGCCTCTTCCATAATTTAAATTAGCTTTTTTGACTGAAATTGTAGTTTAATTTAGGTAATCTTAGCGTTAGTTAGTTATTTGTTAGTCGATCTTAGCTCTAGTTGTTTAGTTATTTTTTTTTTGAAGGAAATCCTTCAAGGGCGGGGGGAGATGGTTGCGCGGAAAACCATTCGCGTTTTTTATTTTTGACGGTAGGAATTTGTCGAATCATTATTCCCTTCCGAAACAATATCATTCGTACCCTCCTATCGACACATCGGGGTGGTGGGGTGGGAGGGGAAAGAAGACGATTCTAGAACATCGCGTAATCATCGGACCCGAGGATATATAAGACACGCGCGACCGACGCGCGCTCTCTTCTCCCGCCGCAGTCGTCGTTGAACTACAACCTCCTCTTCCCGCGCGCTCGTTTGGAAACACCTCACTAGTGGAAACCGCTTTGGCCTGGAAGCAGTCGAGCTCCAGGAACCCGCCTCACCTCGTGTGAGATATCGTCGCGCACCGCCTCTCTCCGGAGTGTTCCAGAAGTCGCCGCTATAGTGATCGACAGGAAGAAGAAACCCCGGTGAGTCAATACTCCTTAATTATACCTGCTTGCTAATAATTTAACCCGCTCCAATTTGTGTTTTTTTCCTAGTCAAGCAGGATTCCTTTCATCGATTCGACAAGTAATAGTTTAGTTTAGGGAAGAGCGAGTGCATTGTACCACATGCTATAGTAGTCGCTTCACATAAGCATAGAAGCAATCGCATATACAGTCCACTTTAGTTAATATCTCGCGTAATAGGTTTGAGGTTTGACCGGGGAACTAGATTTTCGGCAGCCTTAACCACGTGGCTCCATCAAATATTTAATAATTAACATATATGTATGTGTATGTAGGTAATAAAATAATTCTTTTTCTACTTCTATTAATATTACATAGATAAATAAAGAGCTATGGAGTGGGCTATGCTCGGAGTTTCTCTGCGTGATAGACTCGGAAATGAAGATATCCGCAGTAAAACCAGAGTGACCGACATAGCCCAACGGATTAGTAAGCTGAAGTGGCAATGGGCCTGCCATATAGCTCGAAGAACCGATAACCGATGGGGAAGAAAGGTTCCCGAGTGGTAGCCTCGTACCGGTAGGTGTACTGTAGGGCGACCCCCCACTAGATGGAGTGACAACCTGGTAAGATATGCAGGAAGTCAATGGATGCAGGTGGCTCAGGACCATGCTTTGTGGCATTACTTGGGGGAGGCCTATGTTCATCAATGGACTTGTGAATGGCTGTAATGATGATGATGATGAAATAAAGATAATATTAAGTATAATATATTAGTGGTCGGACACTGAGTCTCGCGATGTGCAAGATACTCAAAACGATCGCAGAGGTATGGAGGTGCAAGAGGATTAAAGCGTAAAAAGTGAATAAATTGTAACAAATGTAAGTCTCGACATTTAAGGATAGGAAGCCATTTTAATTGAGTCCTGTACTCTGAAATATGATCAAGCTTACAAAAACCGAAAATAAAACGTATAAACGGAAGAGTAGTACTAAAGTATCCAGAAAATTAACATCAGCGTAGTCAGTGACAGAGAGAAGAAGTGATTGAGCTAAAGTTATCTTAGTTTTTAAGGGTGAAAATATTTGAAGATGCTTGAGAAATTGAAAAGACTAGTACACCTTCCTCCTAATTATATTAATTTGTGCAACCAAAGCCAAACCGAATTAGTATAACAAGACCTAAGTTCTTAGCAGTCTCTGAATATGGAATCTAAATATTATAAGTTACAGCAGGGACCTTTGAACGGTCTAACCAGTTTAGCATATGTGACCTGCCGATAATCATCACTTGGGAATTTACTGTGTTTTTACCGGTTGATACTCCGGAAGACTGTTTACTCTGGGAAAAATTATTATTTGTTTAAATGATACGCAGAAGAAGGTGCTGGTGGAAGGTAGTCTGCACTTAAAATTACAATTAACAATTTAATTGATATCGGCGGTGATGTCACTCAGGTTTCTCACGTACTGAGAACTGTATGATGAGCGATTAGATCCTGCGCTGTGAAGTTTCAAATTAAACAAAAACCCCACACATCCCAAGGTCTTTTCTTTGCTTATTTCAAGGCTTATTCTTTGCTTATTTTGTATACACACTATAAAGTTTCTTTTAAACCCCGACTTACCAGAGTTGTGCTATAAGTTATTTATAAGTGGTAGAGCCATGCTGCAGTTATATTAGTAGTATAGTTGTAGCACAAATGGGTCGGCTCGACCGGGGAAGGACCACGCTCTCACAGAATACCAGCGTGAAATAGAAGCTTAATGCTGCTGTATTTCGTATGGTGAGTGTAGAGAACCGGAGACCCTTTTTACTGGAAACGAGGCATTCCATCTCAGTCCTCACGGGTGACAACGCATCTGCATTTTGATTTTTAATGGAGAATAGATGTAGATGTCTATGGGCCGCAGCAACCACTTACCATCAGGTGGACTGTGTGCTCGTTTGTCACCCTATTCTATAAAAAAAAAGTTTATAGTGTGTATCTATGAAGTGTCTATGAGTCTGTCTGTGGTTCTTATATCTATGGTCTGTGGCATCATAGCTCCTGAGCGGATGAACCTTTTTAATTAAGTTTTTCTTGTTTGAAAGGTGTCTTAATCGAGAATATTCTTAGCTATATTTCAAGAATAATATAATATATTTTTACGTGGTAGAGCCATGCTGCAGTTATATCAGTAGTATAGTTGTAGCACGAATGGGTCGGCTCGACCGGGGAAGGACCACGCTCTCATAGAATCCAGCGTCATATACTAACTTGGTGCTGCTATGTTTCATATGGTGAGTGTAGAGAACCGGAGACCCTTTTTACTGGAAACGAGGCATTTCATCTAAGTCGTCAAGGATGACAACGCATCTGCATTTTGATTTGTAATCGAGGATAAATGTTGATGTCTATGGGCCACAGTAACCACTTACCATCAGGTGGACTGTGTGCTCGTTTGTCATCCTATCCTATATAAAAAAAGAAAATCTGTTCAGCCGTTTGAAGATCATAAGCTCTTTTTTAATATAAGATATGGTAGGTTTACTCGTCACGGTTCTTTGAACGAAGTCATCCGAAGGGCTCCTGTCTCTATAAATGTTCTCTCGGTTTTAGAGTCTTGCGGGATATTTAGACCCGACGGTATGATTTTGGTCCCTTGGGAGAGAGGTAAAGCCCTAGCGAGGGATGTTACTTGCATAGATACTTTAGCGGTCTCTCATCTCAAGGTTACCTCTTTTAGAACCGGGGAATGAATTAAGTAAATGTCGCAAATATGAGTCTTTGAGAAATGACTAAATATTTGTGCCATTTGCTGTAGAGACTATCGATCTGTGGGGTCCAAGTACAGTGAAGTTTCTAAAGGAACTGTATCCACGGTTGGTCGTCGCTGCTGGTGATAAGAGGGCTCAAAATTATAAGTATAGCTATTCAGCGAGGAAACGCAGCCAGCGTTCTTGGCACGATACTACGGGGAGTAGGACTGTATGACAATTTAAATTTTTAGTTTTAGTTGTTCTTTATTTTAGTTTTTTTTAATATTATGTGTAAATAAAAAATGCAATATAATATTTAATGGCGCGGTTAGTTTCAAATACAATTCTTGTAACAAACAACATCAATAACTTTATCTGTACCTACTCTTTTAACACCGAATTGACAATTACTTACGAACAAATCTCGCCATAGATCTTGACTTCTGGATACTTTGCTTAGGACAGTAGTTATTTCTTTGACTGCAGCGCTTCGGGCCTACAAATAATTGTTCCTCGTCCTCATGTTTATCCAAGTGCAATTTTCGTTTTAACGCCAGTCACGGTTTTTAAGAAATTCCTAGAGTGTGTGTGTAGGAGGTGGGAGCGGGGTTTAACTAAGTCTTGTAAATTAAAAATAATTCAATATCAAATTATATTCATTAAAACAACTTGATAACATGATGATTTTAACCAATTGATTTCCAGACGTTATAATTACATTTCATATTCGTAAAACCGCAAAAACTTTATTGACCAACATTTTTGACACCATCTACCATTTTATCTAAAGCACTCTTCTCTGTTGGATTAAACGCATTGGCGACAGAGTCGCCAGCGTCGCTCATTGCCTTTGTCACATCACCCCAAGCACTTTTCACGGAATCCATGACGTCACGTTTTGCTCTGTTTTCTTCTGATGGGAATGCAACTGCGGCTACTACCAGCAACTGAAAGTATAGTCGAAACAATAAAATGAAAAAAAATTAAGTGAACATTTTATTGGAAAAAATAACAACAAATAATTATAGTAATATTTCAATGTCCCCTACATTAAAAGTAATTTTATCAGCTTTTTAAATTATTTAGTTGTTAATAGGAATACGCCGCTACTAATATTTTGGTTTGTTTAACATCTTTCGCCTCTTACGGTGCCTACGGGACGATATGGCTTAGTGAATATCCTTGCGTTGTCACTACACAGCAGAAAAGCTCAAAGTATCGATAGTCGATGCGTAATAAATATTATTGAGTGATAACTTTGTACTGGAACGTGAAATGTAAGGCGGCTATCTACTAGATGGAGTCGTAGCGCGGCAGACCCTCAAAGGCTCTAAAAGCAAATACTTGCATGTACGACAATCCGAATATCTGAGTACGTTCCTTTGTAATAAGACTTAATTTAGGTGGCTTTGATAAATCGGTTTCAAACAAGATACACATCTGTGTGTCAGCTGATTTTGGTAATGAAGAGGGCGGTGCATTGTGTAGATTTATGGAAACTTGGTGCCTTTTCACATTTATATTCTAGGTGGGGTTATTTTTATTAGATGTCTGGAACTAATGTCACCAATCTGTTACAAAACTTGGCGATTCCAGTAAACCTTTTAGGGAGAGAGAGAGAGAGAGAGACTAGTGTTGTAACTTTTAGTATACTCAATATAGAGATATTAATGGCAATGTCGTACGTTGATATTAGTTCAATGATTCAACATAGGTACATTAAACCATAATTAATATTGTATACCTGTATACTATAATTATTAATAGAACAGGGTGTAAGTTTGTGGAAATTCACTATAAAAAATTATATATGAATAAATATATACTTACAAAACCGATTAAAAACGTTGCTCGAAAATTCATGTTGCTGTCGATCAGGTATCAAAGAAATAAAACTGAAATTTAAAGAATCCCAGTAACAGAGTACCTTGTATCTATGAAAGTTGTACTCTTACTGACTGAAGATGTAAACGTTAAACAGGAAGCCCTGAATTTGAAAGGTCATTTACTTGTGCGACAGTAATAAGCGACAGAATAACAAGGGACAATAGGTCTCAAATGCGCCAGTTGTGAGGGCTGCGAACCGTGACCAACGTTTATTACGTATAATAATTTAAAGCCAACATATTTTGGAATGGGGTCCTATTTTTTATTGGTATAACGTTGATTACTAAAAAGGTTAGAATTTTTTTTGTAGTTAGTGCTCAAACAATCAAATAAAGATTGAAGGAGCGCTACGTACATTGCTTAATTTCTTGATATGGGCTCACGCACACGTATTTTTTCTTTCTTTCTTTCTCAACCAGCAAAAGTTTACCACGGAAGCCCCACAATTGCACTTAAAACCATGTTTTTGCAAAAAAGATCTCCAGTTCTCAACACTCACCATAAGAAACACAGCATTATTCTGCTATTTCACGCTAGTATTTTGTAAGACTGTAATCTCCACCTCGGTCGAGTCGAACTATTCGTGCAACTCTACCACGAACAAGAGGCTCGACTTTTGTGTCACTTAAAATTTACGCAGCGCTCTGTCTTCTAATACTAAAATCCAAGCGTTGTTGCTATAAACTTAAACTAATGTGCTGTGCAAAAACCAGAAAAGCCAAAAGAAAAATGTCCATGTTTCTAAAATTATTATTTATAAATTTGACGGCGGAGCCTTTGGAGAAGTAATATTTTAAGTATATTCACCTTACTGAGAGTGTAAACTGAAACATCTTAATCATATTTTGTATTTTCGGTATATCCAACATGAGAGGGAAAAGCAAAACGCCTTATACATCCTTTGTTTAATTTTCTATCCTTTGAGTTGCGTTAACGGGTCCTGGCTGATATAAACTTTCGTAAGTCCATGCCACTTCGAATTGAGACATTCCGTTTTTAAATCAATTTGTTATACTTTTACTATATACCTCAGTTATCGATGCCATGTAGTGTAAACGCAAGGATTTTATATCCCGTTACGTCTTTGGAGTGTGGTAACAAACATAAAATTTAAGAAAACTTTAAATTGGTTTTCATGTGTGAGTGACATCCATAAAAATCTTTTATTATAATAATCCTGAGAACGCACGTACGGATTTGATTGATAGATAGCAAACATCCGCCGTATTGCTGCAATTTAAACCGAAGAAACGTTTGACCTTAAGCAGCTATATATCAACAAGTTGTAGCAGTTAACAGCGTTTTATGTGTTCATTTATCAAATATGTTTTTAATGTATGATCATGTAGCAATGTATTTGACAAAAGGATTTGCACAAAATTTTCCATTACCTATGTACGAACAAAATAATCCTTTTAGCGACGAATATTGCTAATATAGACTTCTAGAAAGAAGCATAACAGGTCAATTGTGAAGGTGTTTTTTATGTGGTAGCTCAGGGGTTAAGCGTTATCTGTAAATTTCACAGTACCAGCGAACCCTGGATACGATCCCCGCCGGAACCAATGAAATTGTTAGTTGCAATTTTAAGTACCTGGGTGGATTGAAAAGTACTCGGCCTAACACAGATCCATTCAATTCTAAAAATCAAATCTACCCACATTATTTAGTTCAGTTCAGACTAGTTCATTGTGTGAAGTTCGAAACTTGTGCGATAATTAGTTGTGATTTTATAAATTTATTAACAAAGTAATCGGACATAATTTCCGCGAATGGAGCAAATCGAGCAGCGTGCCCTCATTAAGTACCTCCATAAGAAGGGGCTATCATCAAAAGCCATCCATGATGACATGGTCAGTACATTAGGCGATTGTGCTCCGTCATATTCATCCGTCAAAAAATGGATAGCAGAATTTAAGCGTGGTAGAGAGAGTGTGAAAGATGAACCCCGCTCTGGAAAGCCTTCGACGTCAACTACTGACGAAAATATTAAAAAAGTACTTGATTTAATAGTGGGAGACCGCAGATTAAAAATTAGAGAGATAGCCGAGATTATAGGCATCTCTTATGAACGAACTCAAAACATCATTGTCAACGAGTTGGGTTTCCACAAGGTGTCTGCGAGGTGGGTTCCGCGACTGCTTTCAGTTGAACAAAAAAGGACGCGATTGACTATTTCACGCGACTGTTTGGAGTTATTTGAAGCCGATGCAGATGATTTTTTGAATCGTTTTGTTACTATGGACGAAACATGGGTTCATTACTGTACACTGGAAACAAAACAACAATCAAAACAGTGGAGAAGACCTGGTTCACCACCCCCTAAAAAGGCTAAGTCGATTTTGTCGGCAAATAAGGTGATGGCTTCAGTATTCTGGGACTCGAAAGGTGTGATTATGATTGATTATCTTGAAAGGGGTCAAACTATAAACTCTGATTACTACTGCACCTTACTACGTCATTTACGAGAGGAAATAAAAGAAAAACGTCGAGGAATGCTCAGAAGAAAAGTCCTGTTTCATCAAGATAACGCCCGTGTTCACACGTCAGTACAGTCAATGGATGAAATTCACAACTGTGGCTTTGAACTGTTACCGCATCCGCCGTATTCACCTGATCTGGCACCATCAGACTTCTTTCTGTTCCCTAACCTAAAAAAGCACTTGGGAGGTCAAATATTTTCGACAAACGACGAGGTCAAAGCAGCTGTAGACGCATATTTTGACTCTAAGGAAGAATCATTTTTTTTCAACGGTCTAAATGCTTGGAAGGGGAGGTGGCAAAAGTGTATTGAACTTGATGGTGATTATGTAGAAAAATAAAAATATAACTGATTTAGTATGTGTTTGTTTTCTTGGTTAGGCCGAGTACTTTTCAATCCACCCTCGTATTGGTTTACCACGTGCTCGGTGTAGAAGGAAAATTTCGTAAGCAAACCCGACGGAAAACTGCGGCGGACATTAACTTGCCTTAGAGCAAGGTACACCTTGCCTTAGGTGAAGGTAATGTTTTCTGTAAAACCTCTCAGAAATGAGAGGCCTGTGCCCAGTTTTGGAAAATATACTGTAACTTTAACTTTTTATCTTTTTCTTGTATGAAATTCGCAGCAGCGGATTCAGATATCAGAACGATATCAAGGAGAATTCTAGAAAATATCATCATTCATCTTCATCATTACAGCCCTTCACAAGTCCAGTGCTGAACATAGGCCTCCCCCAAGGAAGATCACAAAGCACAGTCCTGAGTCACCTGCATTCATCAACTTCCTGCATGTCTTACCGGGTCGTCACTCCATATAGTGGAGGGTTGCCCTACAATACACCTAACAGTACGAGGCTGCCACTTGAGAACCTTATTTACCCATCGCTTGTCGATTCTTCGAGTTATATGGCCGGCCCAATGCCTCAGCTTACAAATCCGTTGGGCTATGTCGGTCACTCTGGTTTTACTACGGACATTTCTAAGTTTATCTCGCAGAAAAACTCCGAACATAGCTGTCTCCATAGCTTGCTGAGCGACCTTGAGCGTCTTCTTACGGCCATCTATGAAGGACGACGTCTCAGTTCCTTAAGTCGTCACTGGCAACACGCACTAGTATACAGTCTCGTTTTCAGGTTTTGAGGTATAGCTTATGAGAAAATGTTGATGAAAATTTCTCGAAAGCTCGATTGACTTCCCGGCCGAAGTTGGACTTACCTATTAGGGCTATTTGTCCCAGTTAAACAAACTCATCACTCATCAACAACTTCGAGCTTAGTGCTCCCAACAACTATCGGCATAGGTGTTACATGGACATTACACATGATCTATGTTTTGTCCACGGCCATCTTAAGACCTATTTGTTGGGAGGCACTATTGAGGTCATTGAGCGTGGTGCTTAGGTACTCGAGCAATTCTGCCATGAGGAATATATCGTCAGTAAATCGAAGGTGAGTGATGTACTCGTCGTTGATGTTAATACCGTATCTTTTCCAGCCCAATAGCTTGAAAACGTCTTCCGATATTGTCTTATACCTCTCTGCAGTTGGATAGGTTTCGTACTCTGGTTCTGTCTCGGATAGCCATCGTAGCCCTACTGTACAAACACTTCAGCACTTCAATATACCGACAGTCAACTTGGTACCGCTGAAGGGGTTCTTCATAGTCCACATACGCTAGGCAAAGTGGCAGATTGTACTCTTCGGTCTTCTGTACAATTTGCTGAAGGGAGTGTATGTGGTATACGGTACTAAAGCCTTTTCGGAATGCGGCTTGTTCGGGAGACTGAAATTCGTCAAGTCTTCGTGCGAGTCGATTCGTGATGACTCTCGAAAACAGTACGTAGACGCGGCTCAGAAGAGAAGTCAGTCTATAGTTCTTCAAAATAGTAATGTCACCTTTCTTGAAGAATAAAATCACCGCACTTCTGCTCCACGCCTCCAGAGTAGTTCCATCATGGAAGACGGAATTAAAGAGCTTCTGAAGGACCTCAAGTACCGGTTTTCTACGCGCTTTCAGAAGCTTAGCTGTAATTCTATCCTAGCACAGGGACTTGCTGTTTTTAAGGTGCAGGAGAGCCATTCTAATCTCACTCAGACTGACGTTCGGGATATCATTGGAATAGAGTCAGATAAAACTTGCTCTTGGATCGTCACTTACACTATATATGTATGTACTTATCTCATCTATGTACTTGTGTCCATTCTATATTTCTATATCTTTGTTTCTATTTTATAGTTTATAATAAAAACAATGTTATTTTTGTCACCAAACCACACATAAGTTTTTATTGTTTTCTTGCAATCTTGTCAATCTAAAGGTTGTCTGGAAGAGATCGCTCTTAGCGATAATACCGCCCATTGTACCACATTTCTTTCTCTACTTTTTTGTTATTATTTATGTTTTTTGGCATGCAATAAAGTATTATCTATCTATCTTGCGTGTGGTTTCAACGATGATGTACAGTTGCCCATAGAACCTCTAAATTTCACTCAAAA